CATGGCCGTTGTGACATGTTCCCGGGGTCGTGGTCCTCTAATGTTAGATTAATGGCCATGGTTGTATGTTCCCTCGGCTGTGGTCCTCTAATGTTCGATTATGTGCCCCCACTCGTGTTTGTGCTTTATATTATGGTCGTGTCTGAAACTAACACGGTCGTGGTGGCTTTGATTACCGCAAATACTAAATAAGCGGCCATTGAAGGAATGAAAGATGAAAAAAATCGCAAATATGAGTACAAAAAAAACTCTTTTCTTGCCATAAACGGGACGCAAATACCAAAAAAAAATGTGCTAACCTCGACGTTTCAGATATAGGAAGCGATTCGGAGCACGAAATTGCAAAAACCAGTATAGAGTGCAGCAGAGTAAACCAGATGGGCGAACACGAACATGAAAACAAAAACGGAAGAAAAGAAACGAAGATGAAATGAGAGGATACCAACGGTTACAATTTCAATTGAGGGGTATAATTGTCATTTAATTCACGTACCTTTCAAGGCCATGGTAAAGCAACCAATTTAACCACGGTCAAACCGCGCCCATTGGTTGTCTTCATGAACACCACGGCCGTGGTTCTATCTTTCACGGCCATGGTCAGCTAACAAGAACTACGGTAAACCCCAGCTCATTGGTTGTATTCATGAACACCACGATCGTGGTTCTATTTTTCACGGCCAGGGTCAGCTAACAAGAACCACGGTCAACCCCACCTCATTGGTTGTCTTCATGAACACCACGACCGTGGTTATACTTTTCACGGCCATGGTCAGCTAAACAAGAACCACGATCAACCTAGCTCATTGCTTGTCTTCATGAACACCACGGCCGTGGTTCTACTTTTCACGGCCATGGTCAGCTAACAAGAACCACGGTCAAACCCAGCTCATTGCTTGTCTCCATGAACACCACGGCCGTGGTCCTATTTTCCACGGCCATGGTCAGCTAACAATCGTGGTTTATGGTTCACGACCATGGTCAGGCTAACAATCATCGAACCATCGTCGTGTTAATTCCATCATGAACGTTCAGATTGAGGTCGTGGTACTATAATTTAAAAGGTGGAAATGAATATACGATTCTTAGCCTCAACTAGACTAATATACGAATGAAAATATTAAAAAAGGTTTGCGTTCCAGATTGAGGCTAAAATAGTAATTTATCCCTTCAATATTATATTCCAGATAATACATTGGGTCAGTCAATTTTTGTAATTGAGGTCATTTGAGCAAACTATAAACTTTTTCAGGTTATCTATACCATTTTCCCGGAAAAAATCATACCTATCATATATTTAATAAAAAGAATTGTGATATTTTGTGAGGTGCATACTAAATTGAATAATATTTAAGTATTTATAGGTCACTATCTATTTTTTACTAAAATTAATAATTTTTAAAATTTTTGAAAAATAAAAAAGAAAAATATCATTTTTACTGTATTCCTCCCTTATATATTAAAAAAAAAAAAAACTAAAGTTGTACTATAAAAAATTTAATATCATACTTATTGCAAGAGAAATTGGCGGAGACTTCACAACGGCCTTTCCACTTGGCCGGCGGCGGACCATATCCGTCGGAGAAACTAGGAGATTCCGGCCAAATACCGCTGTCAATTACTCCGACGATGATGTCATTCTCCACCGACTGTGCTCGATCAACTTTTTGGGAGAAGCCCATGAAATCCCAAGATCTTGTTGTGTGTAATTGTTTTTTTCCATTTGGAAATACTGAGATTACACCTTCCATTTCTGAAAATTCGAGTTTATGCAACAAAAAATAATAATTTAAAATATATAATAAGAACTCAAGTTCATAATTAATTTTGGAAGAAAATTAAATTAAAAGAGTTTAATTTATTTTAAATATACCAGAAACTTTCTTTGCTTCCGCTTCCGTTAGCTTCACCACGAACCCATTGAAGCTTCTCTTGTAGCTATGAAGTAGAGAGTCTGGAGAGAGTACTGAAAAAGGAGAACAAATTTTTTTTAGGTTTTTTTTTTTCCCCTTTTTTGGTTATTGTCAAAAATAATTATCTTGTAGAATTTCTACACATTTAGATGACAATGATATAATATTAACGAAAAAAAATATAATTTTGGTAGGATAATTTTTTTTTTCTTTACAGTTCTCTTTCTTTTTCAATAGTTACTGTATTCGATCTCGGGGACGATGCCATCGAAATGCCGAAGTAGAGAGAGGAAGAGAGATTTGGTAGACTGGCGTAGTGAATGGAAATCAGCAGCAATGTTTTAGGTTTTGCATTTTCTAATTCGACTTTTCGAATCGCATCTCATTCCGTTCCGATTATCATATTCTGGGCCATGAATTTGAGAACCTCTTTTTCAATATTTACTTTATTCGATATCATGGCCAATGGTGTATGGAAGCTCGTACTACGGTCGTTTCTACTTGAAAGCACTTTCGTCTTTGAATTTCGTAGGTCCAGATCGTCCGCGAAATTTGTGATCCTTCTAATTCCCTCCCAATTGTTTCTCATGTCACATCATTGCTTGTTTCGTTTCATTTTCATAACTAACCTTTGATGTTTTGCTTGCAGACTCAAAAACATTTAAAGAAGAGGACGGAGGAATTGTTTGAAATTTTGAAGGCTAATGAATCAACTGGATGGTATATCTATTCCACGGGAGCTCTCATCCAAAATGCTAAATTATTCCGTACTAGTAGTTTAGAAATTCTTTCGTTTTGCCCACATACACTTCCGTTTTACCTATTGAACTTGACTGTGTAGAAGATGGATCTTAGGACAAATCTTGGCCTTTCTTGAAGAATATTGGTATTGGATATCACTCTGAGTTTAAGCTTAGAAATTACAGGAAATTTAGTTTTTCTTAATACATTCTTAACACTTGTTACCTCGTGTAGTTACATAAAAGAGAGGAAGCAATATTGTAGGAATTTAAGTTCAAGAACTCCTGTTATAGCCCATTACTGTTGATCCAAAAGTATAAGCTTATACGTTAGGATGGTAATGCCGTTCCCTTTTTTCTGGTTAAATTCGATGGACATCAAAGGGTGACTTTGTGGTTTGAGGGACTATTATTTTCTTGTTTTTGCTGCTGCACGCTTGGAACAAGGCCCATCTCCTCCCGCAGCCGGCAACTTCCCTTCACAGTTTGTAAAATAAAACAACCTCGCGGGATAAAACCATCTCCCCTCCCAAGAGCTATAAAACAGACCTCCTCATCCCAACTATCTCCCAAAATAATGTCTTCCTCTACCTACCACCACACAATTCCACAATTTTCTGATGAGGGGCAATGTCATACGCTTTGATCCACCCTCAACTATGTATTCCATGGCAACAACTTAACCGCACAATTCAAGATAACCCCTCTGCTGAATAGCCTGAATTTCACTAGCTTGGCCTTTGTTTGGAATGCGGTCAAAGCCCAACGTTAGCTAAGAAAGGGGAAGATCTTGGATACATAAGTTAGGGACATCATCTTCATAATAATGAGAGTTTTTGGGTGATAAACAAAGCCACGAGTGCTATGCTCAAAGTGGATAATATCATATCATTGGAGATATGAATGGTGGTCCCTTGCCCCTTAACAAGTAGTAACATAGCTATAGTTTTGACTTAGCATGTGAGTAGAATCCTCTAGTTCTGAACCATGTGGCGAGCCTCTGGAAATCCGTGGTTGAGCTATCTGTCAAGCAGTATGAGAGGGTGACCAGCTAGAAGACAATCGAGGAAGGTAGATGGATAGTTGTGTAGGGCTGTTTGCCACTCAAAAGCAGTTAGGAGGCGATAATAATGAGGCTTTTTTGAATGATAAGCAAATCCATGAGGACTTATGCCCAAATTGGACATTGGAGATGTGAAGGGTGGCCCTCTGTCCCTAACAAGCCTCAACTGTTCGTCATCGCAAGAATGGTGGCCATATTACAACGAAACCTTTTCAACTTAAGACCTTTCCTGAACAGTCTTCGAACTCCCTGTTCAATCTTCAACCACGAATCACTTGCTCTCTCTTTCATAACCAGCACACATTCTGTTACCTGGAATGCAAACTCAACATCCTCCTCTAGTTTCATTTGATCTCTCTTCTACCCCCTTACTTCCAACCACAACTGTCTGCGTAAAGGATTCCACTAATTGGGGAGGTTTGTCAATTGCACCTGCACTCTTAGTTTTAGAACCACCAGTTTCCCCTGGGGTTGGAGACCGCTTGAAACCAAATTAATGATTCGGGACATCTTATACTCCTAAAGAGCGGCTCTGCTTTCAAGCATGCTCCAACCATCTCAAAACAGTCTCTTGCCCAAGCAATTAACCCCAGATGAAACTTGAGCTTCGACTTCTATCCTCTATAGCTCTCTTCAATCTCTACCTTTTTCATGAGTGAGAGAACTCGCTCAAAGTTCCTAACGTTACATGGATTCAGTCAATCAAGGAATGTTCCATGGGGTAGGACTGCACCGGCCTTAAGCACTTGCACTACTGTTACAGACATTATTTATATGATTATTAGGTTGAGATATGCTTTATGTTCTTTCATGGTTCAACCTTTAAATTGTGTTAGTCTATTAAACCAATAGATTAATTAGGATTCCATCGTATCAACATGCTTATCACTTTCTCACTGTCTCTTTCAACTGGGCTTCAGACCATCACCCTATCTGGGGTAAGTCCTTCGCTGCTAGCTTCAGATCCATACCATAACGATAACTCTATATTATTTGAAAACTTAGAGATGCTTGACTGGTAAAAGGTTCTTGTCAATAGTCTTGGTGGTTAGAAGAAAAGAAGATTCTCGAAAAGCTTAACAAATGAAAATTCTTAATGTCTAGTATTGAAGCATATGACATCTCTCCATAGATTTATGAGTTCAGCCTCGATACAGTAGCTATTCACATAAAAAAAAAAGAAAAAGAAAAATACAACACTTTATGAGGTTCTTTCTATGTACAATCGTTTGTAAGTCAATTATTATGCACTTTTCTTGACCGTCACAGGAAATCAAGATTCAAAAAGAAAGGCAGAACCACACAAATCAGACAGAACAGTTCTCTCCCGGATGACTCCTGTGGAAGCAATCTTGACATCAGAAACGTCTATGCAGATGTGCAATGGCGGCCAAAACTGCAGCTACCAGAAGCCCCATGTTGTTCTCACAACGATTTCCTGCATTGTGCGGCCGACCCTGGCGGCGACGTGCTTCAGCCGAACCAGCTGCATAAACAGGGATTACGGCGGAACCTCCTCCTGAATGAGGTCTACTGCCACCGCCATTATCGCCGCCGGCTGCGCTTCCACGACCAACACCATGAGATACGGTGCTTAAACTGTATCTCGTGCCAATCTGGTTAGTAGCCCAATCCTTGCCATATTTTTCTTTGTAACTTTTCTGATGGTAATTAGACTCTGCATCATTCATATAGAAGCTTATTTAGGAATGGGGATATGACAAATTTTGATCTTTTTTCCTTCATTTTGTAAATCTTTAAAAAAAAATTAATAGATAAAGAAGAACAACAGAAGAATACACACTGACGGTAGGAATTTCACGTAAGTGTCTTTAAACTACTGTTGATTTTGGTGACCTTTTTTTTTTTTTGTTTTTTTGGGAGTGGGCAGGAATATACTATGCATAGCACGCACTTGTGAGATGCCAAATTTTCCATTTAATCAGTTTCCTGAAGAAGACATTTTCCCCCAAATTCATCTTTTATGCTTTTTGACGAGTCAGAAAGTCGTCTATGATTTTTGGCGGCTGAAAGGAAGTGAATATAGCGTAACAAAATTAATGTGTGTGTGTATTTTTATTTTTATTTTTATTTTTTTGCTATAATTTCCAAGACTTTACAAATGAATGGTAAATTCTTTTTGAATATAGGGATTTTTTATTCTTTTTGCAAAAAAATTAGTCGCTGAGAAGGTCACGGTTTTTTTTTTCCTTCTAATATGCCTGTGTATTTATATTGCCATTTTATTACATTTTAAACTTTTAAAACCTTCATAACATGTCTTAAAAAGTTGTACTGGAGATTATTTTTATGATTTTTCAAGAAAAGAGAAAAAGCCTTATGAGTAAAAATCGAACAACCCTTACTGACTAGGGCAGTGTAATTAAATTTCTTACTACCCACTATTAAATCTTTTTAAGAAAAAATGTTTCGTTTCTCTATGTTTCTCTCTCCTATCTATCAAAAATTGAATGATGAATTTTTTTTACCACTTAGTCAATAGAAAGTATTATGCATAAAAAGTTTCATTTAATGAAATGATTTTTGAGATGGGTGTAGAAAAAAAAATTGATTCAATGCGTTTCTCTTTTCAAACCCTTTTTTTTTATCCTTTCCTATACAAAAAGTTCAAAAATATGCTTTTAATATTAATGGATATATTCTCTAATTAAACATAGAGTATTAAATGAATAAGCAAAAGCAAATAAGATTTTTTTTCCCTTATATAACATGTAAGATTGTGGACTAGAACCTACAAATTTTGATGGGAGATATAAACTTGAGCTGTGTTGAACAAGATTTTGAACTATGTTGAACTATAGAAGTAGGAAACAAAAGAAAATAATATTTCTGGCCACCAAACCTATAAATATGCATTATTTATCTTAAAATAAATGAAAACTTGATGATTTGATCACCTTAATTTTGTCAGTTATTTGATCTCACTTCAGTTAGTGGCAGCATCTAGATTTTGATTTGAGTGGAAATATTATCTACCAAAAGCTAAAGTTAGTGGGAAAGGCATACACTGTTTGGGCCCCCCATTCGCTAAACTTTATTTGATTTATTTATTTTCAGTTAGCAATAAAAGCATGTTAACAACTTAACATGCACTCTTCAAACACGTATATTTATATTTTTCTTCTTTTCTCTTTTACATTACTATTTTTTTCTCCTTTTTGGACATACATACTATTTTATTCACATCATCAATCATACAAATTTGTCGTTTACATGCACAGCCTTTTCACAACACATGTTTATCTGTAGTGCACACTTTATTTCACTACTTTGTCGGTCTCATTATTCAACTTTGTCGTATATACTTTATTAGTTGTTGCCTATATATCTCCTATTCATACATTTTACTCTACTAATTGTTATGATAACTTCCTTCTATATCTTTCAATAAGATTTGCAGAGAAAAACAAACTGGTAGCAAAAACGAAACACCAAACAAATTGTGATCTCTTAAGTTCTTTAAAGGTATAGTTTGTTTTTTTTATCAAGAGTAGAGACTAGACTTTCGTTTGGAACTAGATATCAAGTAACTATTCCTCGTCTTTCAGAATCTTTTTTGATTCAATTTGGAAACTTTGTAGCCCAAAAATATGAATACGTAATATCTATGAGAAGGGAGGAAGATTAGGTGGGAATTATGATAAGAAACCATGGGGTTGTTGAAGAAAACATAGAGAAAAATTGGCTGAGAATTTTTCTGAGAGAAAGATAGGATACTGACCTGTTTCCAAGATTTCTCGCAGAGCAGATGTAGCCACCATGGTAGAATAAAACAGCATGAAAATCAATCCCATCTCTCTTCTTCCCATCTTTCATACAAACAGCTTCTCTCTCTAGATCTCTCTCTGATTATAGCAATGGTGATTTATTTACACAAAACGGTGGAGGGTGGGGAAGAAGAAGTTGGACTTTTGTTTTCCTACTAAAGTGATCTTATCTTCTCTTAAGGACGAAACAGAGGGGATTAGAATATATAAGAGACATCCTTTTGAAAAGGAACACGAACTCGAATCTCTTTTTAAACTGTTTAAGTCTTCCATACACGGTTTCCACTCTATTGATCTACTGTTGTTTGATTATGTTCAAAATAGCTGTCACATCAATCAGCCTACCCCAGCAATAAGAGAACTTCTTTTCACTTATCTTTCTTCGATGATATTATGGTTTTAGATTCTAACTTCCCCATATCTAATTCTCTACTCCCTCTAGTCGTCCCTCTGACATCTGGATACGTGTGTTGCTTAAAACGAGGAGTCAAGAGCCTATAGAAAAATTATTCAATGTAGTTATCACGATAGGACTGTGTTTAATATCAGTTGGTAGTAGGTTTAAAATTTGTTTACTTCTCAATAACAATTTGATCTTTGTATTTTTAGATAGAATTGTCAGCTACATAATTTCAGTCTTTTGGCATCTTGACTGGGATGCTTTTTTTGATCTCCCCTTTGTTTGATCTTGTATCAGTAGGGAATGAGTTCAAATCCAATGATGGCCACGTACTTTAGGAAGTAATAATTTCTATGTGTTTCCTTACACCAAATGTCGTAGGGTTAGGCGGTTGCGGCGTGAGATTAGTCGAGATGTGTACAAGCTGACCCAGATACTCACGGATAAAAGGGAAAAAAAACCGAAACTAGATACTTTCAAAATTTTATTATTTTTTATTTGTTCCGTCAACTTGTTCTATCCACTCATCCTAATAAAGAAAGGTAGCAGCTTACACAACTTTTTCCCACAAACATTTTTCTGTAAATTATTCTTCTATTGTAGTTCTCTTGTTCTTGAGTATTTTATTTTGAGCATACAATCAACCAAGGATTCGTAAGAGAATTTAGCTACACACCATGTTTTTTTGAGTTGAGTCTCAGTGCAGTAAACATCTTTTGGGTAAACAGAGTTTATAAACATGTGCCTCAACCCAAAATTTACAGATTATTCTTAACTCTTTCTTTACTATTGGTTTATTGCGTTATTATTTGTGTTAATTATTTGAGATATTCAATTTTTTACATTTTCAGCCAAATGTATCCATATACTTTATCCTTTTTTTTCCCTTTGAAAAAGCAGATAGACAAAATGACGTCAATTGCAAACAGGCGGCTTGATGGATTCATGTGATTCTCCATCTTTCGCAGTTAAAAGTGGGTCCATAAGAGAGGTATGGGCATCAAACGACATATATTATATATCCTTTATTTTTAATTTTATTCTCAATATGGGCCTTAATATCTGAACATCTGAATTATGTTGAAGTTTGCTATATAGTTTAACCTCAAAATATTTCCTCTTACCAACATGAAAGCAGTTGGTTAGCTGTATTTAGAAGTCTAGACTTACAATCACTCTTTTCTTTTGGAAACTAAGAAATTAGTTGGGTTTTGTTGGTTGTGGCCCAAAAGGCATGGCTTATGGTCATGATCCAATTTATTTGGCTGAATATATCAGATAATCCCTCACCATTGAGATAATTCTCGATTCAATCGTTAATGTATCATAAATTCTCAATTAAGCCCTTAAAAAGATTAGTTAACATTTGTTGATAGAAGTTGATTAGTTAAAAAGATTTGTTAGGGACCTGGCTTGAGTTTTATAGAATTTTTTTTTTTTATGTACTAGTATCACTCTCTTTGTTTATACTATGATTTTACTTTTATGAATAATTCTTTAATGTTGATATATCCAACATTAGTATGATGTTGACGGACAAATAATAAATAGAAGTATTTGTATTCATGTAGTATGAAAAAATTTTCCAATTTTATGTATGAGTAGCATTGAAGTAACACATCTAAATATATGTGTAACTAAGACAATAATTTAATACATCAAATTTTTCTTTACAAGTTAAAGTGAGCATAACTCATTAATTGACATATATCTTCAACTAAGAGGTTGTGAGTTCGATCTCCTGACCCCACGGTGACGTATTAAAAAAATTTCTTAACAAATTTTAACTTTTTATTTTATTTTTTACATGGTGGACCTATTTAAAAAATTAAGGATCAAATTGAGAATTGTTATGGACTATTTGATATATTTAACCTTGGTATCTTTGCGTGTTTGATATTTCTTTTTTTTTTTTCCTTTTTCCTAATAACATGGTCAATGCTTTGAGTGGAATAGTATGATAGACTTTTCATAAAATGAAATGAAAGGTGCTATGTTTTACTCAGTAAATTAAACATGGGGTGGGAATTTAATCTTTTGACCTCGGAAAAATAGTAAGGCATTAAGTGACGAGGAATGCTTATGTTAGCTATTATTTATTTTCCTTTTAGTACATCATGTTGGAATTCAAACTCATTACCTTTGGTTAGAGATAGGTGTTTCAGTTGAGCTATTCTGAAGTTGGCTACTTTTATCCTATGTTTTTTTTTAATATGATTTGTTAATAAATGTTATTATCTAAACCCCATGACAACTGTCTTTTAACGACTAATATAATTCATCGTCATTGGTAAAGGTGGTAGAAGGAAGGAGGCAATTACTCCCCTACTTCATCTTAGATCAAAAAATTATACAAAAAAGTTAACGTTTTTAAAATTTTATTTCTAATTTGATCTCTTAAAATTTTAGAATTAAAAGATCGTATGCCTAGCATTTTACCTCTATCAACAACGGTAGTTTAAAAAAATAGTTGCTTTCCTCACTATTTTTTAGGGTAAAATATATTTTTTTAGTCGCTGAGTTTGAAAATAGGTTTCTATTTGGTAAATTTCAAAAAGGGACAGTTTAGTCCACAATTTTTAGAAAATAGTTTTAAATAGACCCTGAATAAAATTTAGCGTTAGTTGACTAACGGAAAAGTGACATGAATTGAAAGAAAAGTGCCACATAAGTTTAAAATAATATAAAATAATGAATATTGACCCATCATTTAAAAATTGCCAACTTAGCAATACATAACACTGTTCCGTTAGTTGACTAACGGTAAATTTTGCTCAAGAATCATTTAGAGCTATTTTCTAAAGGTCAGAGATCAAGCTATCACATTTTTTAACTTAGGGATCAAATAGAAATTTATCCTCAAACTAAATGACAATGTATTTTACCCTGTTTTTTATTCGTTGTGTTTCATATTGTAAGGGCAATGATCCAATACCAATAGTTCCAAAACGTAATGTAAATTTTAAATAATAATGTGGATGAATAAAATCGACAATTAGTATTTTTTTAATATTTGCTTTTTAATTTCTTTTTTCATTTAAATTTGTAATAAATAATAATAGTTAAGTAAAAGAAATAGAATAATTACCTTGGGTAAAAGTGAAAAAAATAAAATCAATATCACTTTGAATTTTAATAAGATATTAACTTCTAAAAAAATTTATTCCAAATCAAAACAAGACAAGCTTTTAGCTTCGCGAGAAAAGATTCAACAACCTAACTAATACCCATCAAGTACTATTCAATTGGTCGAGATTAAATTATTTGTCAATCTGAGCATGCTCAACTGTCGAAACTTTAGCTACTATAAACCTAATGTAGTTCTCATGGTGGTTTCCTCCATTGTGATTACGTCTACGACGTGTAGAAGAACCAGCTACATAAATTGGGATCATACTCATACCACTCAAGTGTCGCTCACGGGACACTATAGTTATATTATATCTTGTACCGATGTGGTGACGAGCATCGCCTACCAAATCTCCTCTCAAATTAGAGGTTAAGTTTGGACCTCAACGAGGTCAAGAGACGACGTGCTATTGAAGTGGACTATGTCTTTTTTTGAGGAGACGATGCAGTGGTAGACAAATTTTCCAATGAGCTTTTAAATAAGTTTTGAATTAGTATAAAAAATCAGCAGTACTAAAAAAATCCCTTAGATTTCATTTCAACGATTAGAGAGTGGCTCTAAAAAAAATTAATAATCAGAGAGTGGAAAATCGTAATAGATGCCTCATTTACTCTGCTATATTAAAATTTACTAGTTCAAAAAATAAAAATAAACTTTTGCCATTTGAAAAATAATAATCTCAAATTCGAAAAAAAGAAAAAGTAAAAGAAAAAGAAAAGGAAAAAGAAGCAGTGGCAGAAATTGTCCCGATAAAATCCGTTGGCTTCGTCTTTCCAACGCAGAACGAGAAGCATTCCTTCGCCATTGTTGCCAAGTATCTTACTGCAACGATTGAATCCGAAATCTACACTGATAAAGTTTTGAAAAGTGGACCGAAATTATTGCCTGTAAATTTCTCCACTAGTTTAACTTTAATCCCCTCTCGGTAGAGTTTCAGATGGCAATGATTCTCAAAGGAGGAGGCGGAATTGGAGTTCCAACTGCTACGTGTTTTTCTCAGATTTCCAAACCTTCCCCAATTTTCTCCATTCACACGGTATTATTCTTCTTATTTGTTCTGATTCCGATTCCGATTCAAGTTTCTGTTCTTATTCGTGTTAATTTGTTCTTGTTCTGGTTCTGGAGTATTCACACGAACTATTTGTTCCCGACTCACGTGCACTTTAATATTATACTTTTTCAAGCTTCGGGTTCTCTTTTAGGACAGATTCTTCAGGAACTCGTGGTTGAGTATGACTGTGACTTTGAGGTGCTTTAGACAAATAAGGAAAGGAAATGAGGAAAACGGAACTTCAAAATCCTTCCAAATCGCCATGTTCATTAGTTTCGGTTTGAAAAAGCACAATATGCTCCGATTGAAAAAAGAGCAACATAATTTGGAATTGTAATTCCAAAATAAACCAATTCCCAGAGAAGATAAAATTACCATTAGAACTTTGAAATATTTTAGACTTGACCATTTTTGAGTTTGAGTTCAGCTGTTGTGTTGTTGTTGTTCTTTTATTGTCCTGTCACCTATTTCAATTGGTGGCTTACTCGGCTGAGTCATGAACATTGATCGAGAAAGAGAGAGTGGGGAAGGGGGGTTAGTAGAGAAAAAATTACTGAGAGTTCATGGAGAATCAACTCACTCCATTAATATTTCTCCAAGATCGGTAGTTGTGGTCGAGGACATCAACATGGTCAAGCCATTATTTCTGTCTTAGGTCTCTTATTCCTTTACTGTTCCTAGAAACAAAGTTATTATTCCTCTCAATTCAGCATGACCATGTTGTATCTATGCATCATTTGTTCGGCATTCTTCTAGCTTTATTAAAAAAAACTGATTGATATAGAAAATCAGAATAAACTAAAGATGGTTAAAAAATACTTTTGGTACCTGTACTTTAATCTAAGTAATGATGTGAACTTTAGTTTATAACGATTTGGTCCTTGTACTTCAAATTGGTAACAATTTAGTCCCTAAACTTTAGTAGGTAACAATTTAGTCTATCTAGTTTAAAGTTTGTAATGATTTAGTCTTTGCTGTGACAATTGTTGTTAAGATTTAATAAAATTTCTTATACGTGTAGATTGATAAATTGATGAGGAATCAAATTTTTTTATAAATTACAAATATTGAATCGTTATATTATAAAAATCACACTTAATTGTTACAAATTTTAAATTATAAGGACAATACATACTAAAGTGGCTAAATTGTTACCAAAAGTACAAAGATTAGATCATTAAGAACTAAAATTTAGGAGCACAATTGTTACTTCAGTAAAATTACAGGGACTAAATGTATTTTTTTAACCAATAAAAATTTGTTATGTCTATAGAATATAAGAAAAATAGGAAACGATATATATCCTTTTGATATCTATGAGTGTTTGAGCCGGATTGAGTGCATCTTGACTAATATCATGGAACAACCATTTGACCCTACTATATTTAGTTTCCAAAGATTTTAACATCTTAGGCAGGTGACTACCATAGGGTATGAAGAAAACTATCCTTGAACATAGCTGTATGAGATTACATTATCCGTAGCATTTTAAATAAAACTATCTTTCAGATGTAGCGGTAGAGAAGAAGAAAACGAAGGTGTAGCCCTTGCTTTTGTTCATAAAAAAATGGTCTTAACTCTTAAGTAGTGGTTTCAAAGATCACCTAGCTTTATGGTTATGGTTGGAATATATTATCTCTGTTTTGTCTTCACACACAGCATCTCACTCTTCATATTATAATTTTAGTAAACAAGAGTAGATATAACTTCTTTCAAATAAAATGGATTTGTGCAGATATATAAGCTTGCAGCTGAACGCAAAGTCATATGCTGCTCTACTTTGCAGGAATCATCTACTCCAACAGGTTAGTTGCTGGCAAGTTTTTCAAACTACATCCACTGAGAGATAACAGAATGATATTTTGTGAATCTTTTTTCTCTTTAAAATGAAATGGGTTATGCTACGGTACATTTGTTTCTTTCTGTTGTATTTTAATGTCATTTTATGTATGGCATCTGCTAAAATAGAAGCTTGTTGTATCAGTTGCTGCTGAGCCGAAGGAGATGAAAGTGGTCGAGAAGGAAGCTCCAGCAAAGACCAAACCGCCAGCAAAAGCGCCAGTCAAGGCACTGCCAGAGTTAATGGAGGAGGATGTCATACCTTCACTGAAAGCGATACTCGAAGCACAGGCTGATGTCTCCGATATCGAGCTATCGTTCCAAGACGACAGAGTAAGCTTCTCCGATCTGAATTCTTGTTCACTAATAAACTCTTGGAGCTTGAGCTCATTGAACTTGGACTCAAAATGGCAGTTGGATGGCTCGTTCTTGAAAAATGGAGTTCCCTACTCATTTTGGGCTTTCTTCCCCAATGGCCTCACAGGTACTCAAATTCTTAGACAATGTATTTCCTTTGTCATTGTCATTTCTTCCCAACTGCAATGTTGGTTGAGTTCGATTAAATACAAGAAGAATGTATGAATACAAGAACAAAATATCTTCAATTGTTGAGTATCTTGATGCCAATTCGGCAATGTTTTAAAAGGCTTTTGAGGCTTACGCCTTGAGGCCCGCCTCGAGGCAAGGCTCTAACTTTTAGCCTCAAGTCTTACTCCTTCTTTGGACTATAAGAGGCTTACGCCTCGCATAGAAGAGGCTTACGCCTCGCATAGAAGAGGCTTACGCCTCTTTGAAAACGCACTGAGGCTTAACGTATACGCCTCGTGTAATGATTACAAGAATACTATTAATTTTTCCAATTTTTAAAAAATATCAAGGTTTTTTTTCTATGGAATCCTAAGCAAGAGTTGTAAGTGTAACAATTCAATCTATTACTACTTTTACTACCTAGACTTTAAAAATATTGAAGACAACAATTTATAGAATAAGTAAGTTCTATTGGTGATAATAGTAGTGATGTTATGATGTTTTTTTAGAATTTTTTTGGAGTGACAAGTAACAGGCGGATATTTTGATAATTTTATATAACTATTATGTTTGGTAATACTTGACCACACAAATTTAGGATTTGTTTAATTTTTTTAATTAAAATTGAGGCTTACGCCTCATACCGCCTTGAGGCTTACGCCTCGCCTTTTCAAGAGAAAAAGCCTCGAGGCCGCCTTTAGCCTTTTAAAACATTGCAAGTCGGTACTCGTCTGTCTGTCGCTGAAAAGGAAAAGAAAATAAAATCGTAACTCGATGAGTAATCTATTTCAATGGTTTAATCATGAACAGGTCCAAAAGGGTTTTCACTATCTTCATATGGCTATGGAGGAAGCTCTGTTGAGCCATTTCTGGTTGATGAGAAGAAAATTACAGCAAAACATGTAGTCTTTTGGATTGAGAAGCGTTTGGCTGCTCAAGGAATTATTCCAGTCTGGAAAGACTGATCAACACAATGATTTTTTTTTTCTTTTTTTTTTTTTGTCAAATGATGTATAGCATAATTTTCTATTTTATTTCACTGCTCCTTCAACAACATGTCTACTGATTCTATGAAATGTATCAACTTTTATAGTCCAATAATTTAATATTTTCACCCTTCTTAGTGAAATCCTTAAATGGTAGAATGTGAATTCCAAAGCTTTTTTTATTACAATTACCTAAACCATTTTTATTACAATCATGGATAGTTCATTAGTCTAAAAAAGTTAGAATTAATTGAGAGGAAATTAGTTCAAACTAAAAAGTGGCAGATAAAAAAGATAAAAAAGGAAAATACGATTAGAGGCATGACTGGTTAGTACACATTTGACCAATTTTATATCATTAAAAGAAAATATAAATTGGGTGAACTTTTAAATCAAGAGATTGAATTGTCATTTGCATGTACATTAGATTATGAAGATAAAGTTAATAGAAAAAAAAAAGCATATTCTCTTTTATCAATTGTTAAAAAGTTTTTTTTAATTCAACAATTATGAGGTGATATCGATCCAAAAATGCTAATAAGAGTCTTTATTTTAATTTTGCAAAGTGTATGAGCTTAATCTACTTTGAAATTATTGTTGAATTAAATATTTGTTAAAAGTTTTTATGTTTATTTTCAACTGAATAGGCAGAAAAAAAAAGAAAGAAAACAAAAAGCATAATAATTCCTACGGGCCGTTCGCCTTTTATGGGTCTTTGAGTGACGCGCTATTGTCCAGGCCCAATATAGCGGACCGGGGTTTCCTTCACTCGGCCCACGATATAAGCTTGGTAGTTGGTACGGACTTCGAATTTCACAATTGGGCCGATATACTACCAAGCCCATTTAGTGCAATTCCCAAACCCTAGCTCCACAAATATAGTGAAGGGTTTTATTTGCTTACCCATCCACCGTTCGTGCTGTGTTGCAATTTCTTCTGCATTCTCTTCAACAGATCCAACTCAGAACCTACGGCGGTGGAACTTTGATTCAATGGTACGTAATCGAGTAAACTTCGTGTTATTGTTTCTGAATTCTTTCTGTAGGCGACACAATATTAAAAATCGGCGGGAAGTCGGAAGCTATCTGTCTTGATAGCATGTTCCATTGAGCTTTTGTTGTTCTTTGGTTCTCAATCTTTACTCAGAATCCTAATGGGAAAGCGTCTGGTTTATTTTTATGTTTTTGTGATCGGTACTTGCGTTATTGTCTCTTATTGTGGTGGATTTGATGTATTTTAGGCCCCGAAGAAGGATAAGGCTCCTCCACCGGCCTCGAAACCTGCTAAATCTGGCGGAGGGAAGCAGAAGAAGAAGGTGAGATTCTTGGAACTATATTTTCGACATTATTTCAATTCCTAGCCATATCATTTTAGTTGAGTTTGCATTTCTTTTTTTAGGTTTTATATAGTCTTATGGTTACAGTGTTTTCCTGAACTTTCTGCCGTGGATTGTTGTTTATGTTCATCTATGATACTGTGATGCGTTGTGGGAAAAGGATTCTAACACTTATACTAAATAATGGTCTCGTTTCGAACTTCATGAGAACAATGAGGATGCATGGAAATAACTATACAGGAAAATTAGTGTTATGGGCACCATTCACTTATGATTTTGGATGTGATTCCACCCCTTCTTTTAAGAAATAGTAATTGTGATATCAGGAGAGCATCTCCTGTTTCTATTTCTATCCTGCAACTGTAAAATTTTGATTCTAATTGCTAAGATTATGCAGTTTTCTCATTTATAATTCTGTTTGTCAATATTTATACAACAGAAATGGAGCAAGGGAAAGCAAAAGGAGAAGGTCAACAACATGGTTTTATTCGACCAAGGAACTTATGACAAGCTTCTCGTAGAAGTTCCCAAGTACAAGCTTGTCACTCCTTCAATCTTGTCCGATAGGTTGAGGGTAAGTTTCTCAACCTCTTCTCAACCATAATGTTGGACATATATTTTGTTTGGCTTGCATTCGCAATGATGTTATTCTAGTTTATTTACGTAGCATACTCCTGATACGAACAATAACCATGCCTTTTCCATGTCTTCAAATTTCTGTTTAAATTGTTTATTCAATCTATCCGACTGTTTGTGTTCCCCAGGGTAGGAAAGTGGTCCATATAATTGATCGAAAAATCTCCCTTTCCTTCCCCTTCCCTCTATTACCTTCAATTTGTGGATTCTTGTTTTGCTGAAAATTGTGTCTTTGGATACCTGATCGTCTTTATGTTTTCAGAAAATCAATTGGTAATCAGGCTGGGACATTTTTCATGTACAGTATGCATCTTTCTGGTTAAATTCCTAACTCAAAAAATATACACTATATTGGTCAAAAAGACATGGATTCTGTCGAGAAACCACAGGCCCAAATTCCTTTTGAGAACCTATGTAGCTGTGTTAGGATATCAAATATCTAACGATTTATGAGACTAATGGGGTTCTGTTACTTTATATAGGAACTCTCAACATCAATTCTATAAAACATAATGGCCTAAGATTTCTTTGTATGAGGAAAAATAAAACAAAATAGAAATATTACATTCCAGGTCCTCTGTTTTTATTGTTTTGGAACATGTTTGTTGCATCGCACCATGTCTTTTCAGTATTGAGTTCAGCTAACTTGTGTTTGATAAATGATTATCTGCCATTCCGATTTTCAGATCAATGGATCTCTAGCACGAAGAGCCATCAAGGATTTGATGGCCAGAGGTCTCATCAGAATGGTGTCTGCTCATGCCAGCCAGGAGATCTACACAAGGGCCACCAATACCTAAACCCCTTTATTATCTTGTCATGATTTAGCTGTTACTCCAGTTTTTGCTTGTTGGTTCTAATGTCTCCTTCATATGGATGCTAGAATTTTGCAATTTTTTAGTTTTTTCCCATTTTGGAGAGGAATTATCTGAATTTTATCGTGTTCATTACTATTTTTATATTTATCAAGTTCCCAAACATTCGAAAGTTTATCAGTACTTATGTTTTAGGTGCACGTTGGTCGGTCGGGTTTTGGCTCAAACCTATCATTAGTATTTGAATCCATCGGTTAAAAGAATCGACTAATCATGTGTACTTGGTTTGTTCGGTATAATTGAAATTCCATTTGAGTATGTGGTTTACAGGTTTGGTTAGTTTAATGTGTGAGGTGTCTTGATTTGAGCGAAGTGGGGGCTAGTCTCAGTTCGGGAACTTGGCTGAGACAGTGCCCGTGCCACCGCGGGCAATTGTGGTGGTGAGGTGAGGGTGCCACCGCTGGCAATTGTGGTGAGGTGAGGGTAAGAGACTCGGCTCAAAAGACATGTAGTGTAGCTTTTTCATTTATCATAATGATGTTTGCATGGTTTTGAATTAGAAGTTTGTTTTTGGGAAAGATTAAATTTTGCCACCAAGTTGGAAAGTTTCATCAAACTGTACGTTATTGAAAATCTGGTGAAAAAGTATTTTGATGTGCATCTAATGAATTATAAAACATACAAATAAATAAACATATATTTTGTATGAAATTTATATGATTCGGATAAAAATGCTCGCTGATATATTTTTTTTAGTTTATATTTATATATTTTGGTAGACTTCTTTTAATGTAATAAAAGAGGTGGCTTTTTACAATTTCACCAAGTCTTTTAACTTTGATTTGTGTATCAACGTCTCACATTTCATATGTATTACATAAAAATTGATCAAATATAAAAATAATCAATAATAAACTAAAAATTGACAAAATAGGAAAAATATCAAATAAACTTATTAATTTATATATATATTTTTGTATGAACTTCTTTAGTTTTATTCATTTTCCATAAATATTCCTAACATTCTTATGTTGTTTCATCATCTCGTTCCCGCCAAACTATGGTCTGTGCCCTGCGGTTGCCCATAAGTTCCCATCTTTTCATAGTTCGTCGCTTGAAGTCCTCAACTGCACCGCCGACTCTCTCTCTCGCGCGCGCAGTAGAACCATAGTCTCACAGGTATGCGTTAGCAATCTTTCTGAAGCAGTCTATTACATGTTATAGAGGCTTTCTGTTCCTCGGTTAATTAATCCGGCTCTTTTCAAGAATTACTTCTTCCATTGTATGTTAGGTATTTGTTCAATGCGTTACTCCATACGCATGGGGTGTTGTGATTTTTTAAGTTTTATAGCGAAATGTTTCATTCTGCAGTTCTATGAATCGGAATGTACTTTTACTTGTTTGATCGTAATCTTCTTCGCATAGAGCATTATCTGTAATTGATTTCTGATTCCGTTGTGGTGATATGTTTGTGGTCGTCTTAAATCCAGTCTTCGTGGTTTGTTTCTTTTGCTGTATTACTATATTCGCTTTTGAGATCGGATTCAGTTTTTTCTCGTCGTCTTTCTTTATCAAGAACTTCTGCTGCCGATTCCATTCCGATTCAGCAGTTCGATGAATCGGAATGTGTTTTTGAGAACGGATTCAGTTTTGCAATTATACGCTATTCTTTAACTTCAAGATCTGGTTTAGCTGAATGGAATTCCTAAGAGAGCGTGAATCGCTATCTCAATTTCCTTGCGCGTGTCAAGTTAAATATTGTTATGCTGATTGTTTTAGTTGCATTGGGCTGTTTGTTTCTGATGTTTAACCGTTGAGAGAGGATGATATTTGTTTGGTGAAAGGCATTTTTTGCACGCAGAATGTACTTCTTAATTTGGTTCCAACGTTTTTGTATTTTTCCATTCCATGTAGAAGAAGTGCTATCATCTTAGATTTATTCAATTTGTAAGTGTAGACATACATTTTAGTCGATTTGGATTGTTTTGAACATTACACTGCCATGATCTGATCATAATATCTGTTAAATCCTCCATGGTTGATTTTTCAGGATATGGATACCTCAAACCCTGCAGTTTTTGTCAACGCTGAATTATTGAAATTGCACATCGGAAGAAAGATTCGAGCAGTTTTTCAAGTTACCAAAAGTGATGGTGGAGTTGTCACAGGAAAATCTACGGATGAACAAGAGTTAACTGTACATGGCTTGCCCAAAGTCCCTCTCATGAATTTTGTCGAGGTGATTGGTATCGCTGAGAGCAACAAGATCATCAATGTTGAACATTCGACGGACTTTGGAAACACATTTGGTATTATACAATAATCAATTCATTCTGTTATTACTAATGCCATTGATAATATCTTACTGTTACACTCACTTTGAGAGGAACAATAGGATAATTAATAGGAAGGAGAGGTATTAATACCTCCCTTTGTTGTCGATGAATTGTTTGAAAATTTCTGCTTTAAAAGTTAAAACCAAAACTCTTTGAGTTGAAATTTACCTCTTTTGCAGATGCACAATCTTACAATCAGCTGTGCCAACTTGCAAATGGGGAATTCAAAAGTATATTTCTGTAAGGAGTTGTATCTACGCAATGAGAAGAGGTACAATCTGTTCTGTGATTTTGAATCAGCAGTGCCTTTTACAGCTATTTCGCCATGTTCTTAATCCTAACAAGTTTTCCTGTACGTCAGTGAAAACTATAGCTTCTATGCTTGTATTGTAACCCATCTGACGTGTTTAACTTATTAAACTGCGGTAAACCTATTCCAACCATGATGTTTATTTTGGCTATTGTGTGAGCCACAAGGTGCACAGAAGTTTTATTTTGATGTTCTAAATTGGGAATGAAGTTCATATTTTCATGGACCTTGGGGGTTCCATTTCTCATCTTACCTCCTGGCCGTGACGTAGTGCCTTTTACTTGAAAACGTTTAAGTCCTTGTCTTTTCAACGTGAGATCTTTAACATGTCCCTTCAAGATAAAGTCTCTTTTGAGTTCATCAAGTTGAATCTCATTTTTGAACCGGATGCTAGTTCAAATACCATCAATATTCATGGAGTTCCATTTCAAAACCAACTAACAGTGAGAGTAGTCTATTTATATTATAAACTTTTATTAGGTTTCTCTATCTTTTCGATGTTGAAGCCTTGACAGGTAACCAGGTAAGTATTATTCTTTTTCATTTCCCGTCCGTTTGAACTTAATTTCTTGTTTCTTTTGGGATTTAGCTGTACAGTCACCCTCTTTTCTCAAATCTCCTTAGCCTTGAATTATAGTTTCTAGCAGAGGCATAAGTAGGTTGGTTTGGGTCCATTTTTGGCTGACGGCGATAAAATCAGTTTTTTTACCCAAAAAAAACCAACCATATGACAAAAAATCAACTGGACCAACCGACCATTTTTCAATTTTATTAACTTACTGATATTTGTTGTTCAAATTTTAAACCAACCAAACCGTTATATGTAGTCCAAAATTTGAACTAAATTAAATCTGTTAGTTTCATCCATTTTATCAAAATTTGCACCCTGTAAGAATGCATTCATGTGAAACTTCCATTTCAACAATTGTAGGGTTGGGTTTAAAGTATTATAGATCTTTGAAATGGTAATAGATGTCTTATATATTATCGGTCAAAAAAGAAGAAAAACGAAATAAAAGTCTTGAGCTATGCTTAGATTAACACTAAACAATGTGGATTTTTTTTTTGAACTACGTCTATTCTTGTTATTGATCTCTGAATAGTAATATATGTCTTACCTATTGAGCTATACTTAGATTAATAGTAAAAGAGGTAGATTATTCATTTGAATTTTATTAATGATGTACGCTAAAACAAGGTTATCTAATATTTGAAATGTAAATTTAGATAGATTTCTATTGAGAAGATTGTTGTTAATAGGGCAAATTGTTTAGGCTGTATGCTTCGAAATGAGAGAAGTTATCACAAACCTTAGATTCTATTTTCTAGAAAATTATATTCCAACTTGGAATTAAAAAAAAAGGGTAAATGATATTTGTTTAATTAAATAAATTTAGACTGGGTTAATTTTTCTTGATTTATTCTTATTATTGTTATTTTATAATTTTACATCACCAATAAGTGTGAATAAATATAGACATATTTAACCGTTGAGTTTTGTTTTTACTCTTTTTTTTATAAGAATTAAAAGAGCAAAAAAGTTAAACTTATGCTCAATTTGACCAATAGTCTTCATTTATAATAATTCAAGACTTCGAACTAATATAAATGAGCTCGTAATCTAATTTGATTTAGATTTAATAAGTTCTTTTTTATTGTATTGGTTTCTAAACACACTGGAAAATAGTGAGGCAAGGCAAGCAATTAGCAGTGGAAATGAATGGAAAAGTAGTTATTTAAGTAAATTTATTTATCTTTTCTTTTTAGAAATCAAATAAAGGTATATATTAAATATAATAAAATTTATTTTTTAGTACAACATAATTCAATTGATTAAATTATCAATTTCAATGTGTCAGGGCAAGTATCTCGAATTAAGGTAAAAAAAATTGTAATTGAAGTTAAATTCTATAAGCTATATATGGAAAACCAATGTGGAAAAAAGCGTGAAAGTTTCGGGTAAACGAACGCTGAACCTTCGCGAGTGTATTTGCAGAGGAGAAACTCGAAGGATCGATAAAAATGGCAGCTTCTTCGTCTTCCTTTTTCGCCGCAGCTTCCAAGAAGGTTGGGCCAGCCGCACGCCGCCAAGTTCTTACTCTTACGGAGGCCGCTGCCGAAAGAATTCGACAACTTCTGCAACAGCGCCAACGTCCTTTCCTTCGCCTCGGCGTCAAGGCGCGCGGCTGCAATGGCTTATCCTATACTCTCAACTATGCAGGTTCGTAATACCTATTGGATTTCACCCTTTTCTTGATTCTATGCGTTTCTTTTTTACTCATTTTAGGTATGAATTTAAGGATATGACGAAATTTGTCAAGCAGCTATTCATCGTCTTTTCTCAGAATCAGATGTGGCTGCTTAGAGTTAATTCGAGACAATTAGGTATTTGATGTATTCGGCCGATGTAACCTAAATATTTTAATTAGAGAAACTGGTTCATCTGTTTACATCTCCAATTAATACCGAGAATAAATATTGCAAGACCAAGGATTTCTTAAAGATGATTAGATTAGATGTAGAAAAATTGGAAGAATAAATGATTATGTGATTATGATTTACTGGAATTTGGCCTGGGCATGGTATGATGTTCGAAGATGTGCTGTCGAATTCTTGCTAACCTTAACAAACACAAATCTAAAAGCTAAAACTGACATGCCTTAATGCGAAAGTCGGTAGATTGGACCTATATATGAGAGGAGTATTAACTAATAGTTCAGTCAGTAAATCATTCTGGATCTTAGAGTCAGTTATAATTAATGGCGTTATTTGATAGGAAGTTTTAAATTAACGATTTATTTGGAAAACTGGTGAGATGGGGATTATTGGAACACAAAGTGCTGTTTTTGTTCAATTAGAAGATAATTGGGTTAGCAAGCCTCCGTGGGTCAACTTGGAGAGAATTGTTATCAATATGTCAGATGGTCAGAAGTTAGAGATTTTAAACTTGTGGATACGGACCTTTTCTTGTTTATGTGTTGATTTAATGCAGGCGATGTTCCCAGTTAACTGTGATTGGAGGCCTTTCCTAACTCAGCATTACCTCAGTTTTTTATTCACATTATCATTAATTTCTAGCCTTCTCCATGGTGCAAAAAGATGATGCAGCCTTTATCTCTTTTTTGGCATAAAGGGACTGTAGTCATGATCTCTATCTTTTGAACTACTTCAAAATTGCACTTTTTCTCATATTGAAGTTTTCTTATGTCAAATATTGCAGATGAGAAAGGGAAGTTTGATGAACTGGTTGAGGATCAAGACGTGAAGATATTGATCGAGCCAAAGGCTCTGATGCATGTAATAGGAACAAAGATGGACTTTGTAGATGACAAACTGAGGTATTTCTCTTCCACAATTTTATATCTTCAGCTGCATGTCCCTCCATGTTGAGGAAATACCCTGCTTGTTAGTTGAGATATTAGAAAGATATATCAAAGCATATGTAATTGCATTTAAACATCAATAAGTAGGCATCGGTATGTAAACCTATTATTCCGCATCTATCATGGCTCCTTGGAAACACTGCTTTGATATTCCTGATTTTCAGACATGATTTAAGATGTTTTATTCGGCTCTGAGCAATTCCATTCTGAGTTTGCTTGTCAATCAATTTGCAATAGTGGCAGTGGAATTTGCAACTTGCAAGGATCATATTAGTCATTTGCATCTATATAAATGGGAGTATCTGTGCTTGAGAATGGATTCAGATCATCTTTAGCATCCTCGAGCTGGGGAATATATTTAATACTACTTAAGAGAGAACTATTAAGTTTATTAGAGTTAGGTTATCTCGAGTCTTGTTGCTCAAATCAAATTCATCTTTTTAATCTCTGTACTGCTACGTCCGGTGGGCAATGCACTCATTTCTTTTGTTCCTCCCTTGTTAGATCCGAGTTTATCTTTATCAATCCAAATTCCAAAGGACAATGTGGCTGTGGGGAGTCCTTTATGACAACAGGCAGTGCAGAAGCCAACAAAAAGTAAAAGGATGCAGTTGAGCTGTTTGAATAACTCAAACTTGCAGTTGCTGATTTGTTGTGTATTTTTCTGGGAACAAGGACAATGACCAAAAGAGTTATCTGACAAGAATTTAAAACAATTGTAAGAATATTATATATCTATAGGGTTAATTATATATTCTTAGAAAGCCAAGCGTTGTACTATGCTAATAATTTTCTTTCTTTTGTATGTATTATTGTAGACTGCACTGGCTAATGAGTTCCGAGGTAATAAAATTCTCCCACGACTTTCTTTTGTTCAAGGACTTCGTAATGAGAACTATCCTTCTTGCGGCAGAATAATTTAGAATTTAATTGGAAGAGACTAAAACTTTAAAGTTGATTTTTAAGTATGAAACACAAGCTGGAAAAGCTCATGAGAGACTTCTTGTGGAAAGGAAAGGAGATGGGGCGAGGTACGAACCTTGTTAATTGGAAAACATCTTTGCGCTGCGGGCTAGGTGTGGAGAATTTGGAAATCAAAAACTCTAGCTTTCTGGCAAAATGAAGCTGGAGATTTTACGAAGGAACAGCATACCACTTTTGGAGAAGAAATCTAACTGATAGGGAAATCGAAGAGTGGGTTAGTCTCCATCATCAAATTGCCTCGCGAAGACCGAATGGAGGTGAAGATAGAAGGCTGTGGAGTTTTCGGTAAGCTCCTTGACCTCGAACTCTTATTGATCAAAGCAATAGCTTCACTATTGATTTTCTCATCAGCTTGTGGAAAGCTGAAAGTTTTTCTCTGGATTTGTTGCAAGAAAAAGTATGAATACTAGCGACATAGTTCAAAAAGGTGGCCTAATATGTTGATCTCTCTTCTCATTCTCATTTGTTTCTTCGCTGTGACTTTGCTCAAAAGGGTGAGGTCTACGATTCTAGAGTTGTTTGGCCTAAGCACGCGTTACTCTAGCTTCTTAATGATCGTATTTTGTGGGGAATTTGGATCGAGAGAAATTAAAGACTATTTAACGAAAAAAAGTTCTCTTGAGAGCTTGGGATCTCGTGGATTTCTATGCTTTGTGGTGTATTCTCTCTAAAGATTTCTGTACTGTAATTATAACGTTGTGAATATCACTGCCAATTGGAGCGTTTTTTTCTTAAGCCATTTGCTGTTAGGGCCTCTTTTGTATTGGCCTCCTTGACAATGATTCTCAGCTTCTTAAAAAAATGATTTTTTTTTCGATGTTGTAGGATGGAAAATTTTCATACTACTTCCCTTCCCTCTTCGAAATTATAGCAGCATTTAAAAATAGTTGGCCTATATTAAATAATATAATATATTATTTAATAATATGTGAATGAAATGGTCGATATGAGCTTAGTATAATGGTTAAGACACCTAACTTCTTCTCTCAACATACAAAAAGAAGAGTAGATTTTTTTAATTCATAACCTCTCAATCAGAAAAATAAATGTCAAATATCATTTAATTTTTTTTAGTATAACATGTTGGAGAAAAGATTTAAAACAAACGGCAGTAATAGAAATTTTTAGAAAATGGTATATTAATAATAATTATAAACATTGTCACTTTTTATTGGTTTTCGTTGCGATTCCTCCAACGTGATGAACTCGCGGCGGTTTCACTTTCTCAATTCTCCTAAAAATTTATTAAAAATAAAATAAGACGCCATGGCGGACCGGAGAAACCTCGAAGCTTTTGAGAGTGGGTAGCCATGGAGAGGGGCGTCCAGAGATGGGCTGTGGACGTTTCTAAGTGGAAACCCTCTCCTCATGAGTTCTCCTCTGCCCTCGCTCTTCTCCCTCAACATGAACGTTCCTCCATCCTCAGGTTACCTACTGCTGCTTCTTATCTCTGCCTCATTTTCTTCTGAAAATTGATAGAAATCACTGATCGAAATCATAAATTGACTTCCGGAAACATGAACTCTTTCAATATGACTCGGTTACTTCTTACATTTCTGCTTGTTTCTCCAGAAAATATAGATAGAAACTGATATGGATCGTAGGTTGGTAACTCTTCTTGGGAACAGTAGTGGTTGTATAATTCTTAAGTAATATTAGTGGATAACCTCTGCTTATTTCCTTGTTCATAGATTTTTTAAGATGGAAGACAGGAAACGTGCGCTTGTGAGCCGATTGCTTCAGTATGCTCTTGTGCATAACATATTGGAAATCCCATACGATGAGATCATTATAAAGCGCACATTGGAAGGCAAGCCATATCTGGTAAGGTTGGAATTTAGAAATAATAAGTTGCAGTTTAGAAGTATTGTTAGAATTTAGTATGATCTATGTGTTACTGAACAATTAATAAGCTGCCAATGATTAACGGAATGTGATTTTGTTTTCAAACTAAAATTGTGCAGGCACTATTTGATAATCATTTCATTTTTTTTTGTTTTCTATTTTGAAAATTATGCTCGTTTTTTACAATTTCATTGGTAAGTTTTTCACCCCCTTGAAAACATATTTGAATTTTTAACCAAATTCCAAAAATAAAAACTACTTTTCGAAAACTACCTTATTTTTTTAGTTTTCAAAAGTTAGGATAGACGTTGAGAACGTTTTTAAAAAGTAGATAGCAAAACAAAAAAATTCACAAGTGAAAGTAGTGTTTACCAGCTTAATTTTTTAAACATAAAACAAAAAAGGCCTTAGTTTCGTACTTTCTATCTTTATGTATTATCGGGATGGTAGAAAGAAAAAAGTAAACCTTCTGAGGAACAAGGGCGCTTCTTACTTCTTGTGTTTAAAGTTGAAGTATGTTGATTACTTGCTAGTCCTAGATATGGGTTTTGATAGCTCCATGTGTTCATGGTTTGCACTGTTTGTTAGTTTATGTGGTTACTGAAAGTTTTAATTCAATTCTGATGGTCTGCAATTGCTTTTTCCTTCTATATTTGTGGTAAGAATATTCTTAGAATTTAGGATGAATATTAGAAATATTATTAGGATACTAGGAGCGTACTAGTCAACAGTCGTTGGACAAATGGTTGGTTAATGAACGATGGTTATAATTAGCATGGGGGAAGGAGATTTCTAGAGATAGCTTGTGGGAGAGTTCAGGCTTTTATAAGTGCTTGGAATGTTGTAATTTTCTTTCTTAATATCATAACTACTATCTGTTAACTTCCATTTCAATTTCTAGTTCCTTTCAATTTTATTTATTCCTCTCGCTTAATCAGCATGATAAATGTCATCATGTATCCTTCTCAACAGTAAGTTTTAATGGATGCTTGCTTGTTCTACAACATTAAAGTCATGTTCACTAATATCACACGAACTCTATGCATATTTTTTCTTTTCAGGAATGTGATAAACTTACTTCGGACATCCCCAATTTTAATTTTAATGTATCGCATCATGGTGATTATGTGGTTATAGCATCAGAACCTCTGTGTCTTGTGGGGTTGGATGTTGTCTCCTACACTGCTCCCCAAAATGAGGATACCATTGAATATGTTGAAAGCTTCTCCTCTTACTTTTCAAGTTTAGAATGGAAGAATATCATGAATCCTAGCTCTAGCACCAGTGTTTTGGTTGAGTTCTACAGGTTTGATTGAACTCCCACTTTGCTGTTTAGCTTTTGATGAATGCATTTTGATTCAGTTTTCTTCACTTAGGACCTAATATTTCCTCGAATTTTTATGGATTTGCCCTTGTGACCCAAAAAGCTGGATAATTACATTACTACCCTCCTCCCCCACCCTCAAAAAGGAAGAAAGAAAAGGAAAATTTTCATTACATAACTTAAATTTAATAAAAAAATGTCAAAATTTTTCATATTTTTCAAATATAGCCTGAGTATGACTTTTCTGAGATGTGTTTTATGTTGCATTTTGAGTTTGGTTTCAATTAGGCTGTTTTTTTTTTTATTTCAAACTTTATGTTATATTTGAACATATGAACAGGCCCCAATCAAGAACTTATATTCTAGAAAGAGAGGTAGGAAGCGGGGAGGGAGGAATATTTCTATTATATTGTGGGCCCGAGTTAGTTACAGGGCATTAAGGTAATTAGCACGTTCGTTTATAGGCTGCACTTCTGAGAGGGGAGGGGGGTACATTTTGAGTCCTTTTTTGCGTAAGGCTTAGCCAGGAGAGTGACAAGAGCTGTGGAATCTTTCTCAACTCTATCTTTAAATATAAATAATAGACATTGGTCCTATCACATACATATTTATTTTATGCTTTTTATGGGAATGCCTAAGAAAAAATACAAATATATAAATAAATGGTGTTTCCTACTATTTCTGTCACGATGCAGATACTGGTCTCTCAAAGAAGCATATGTGAAAGCTATTGGAAGTGGAATGGCATATGGGTTGGAGCAAGTGGAGTTTCATCACATTGGGTGGAATGAGATACAGGTGAAAGTTGGAGGGGAAATTCTGAAAGAATGGAGATTTTGGATTTCCGAGTTGGGAAATGGACATTGTGTAAGTTTTACATTATACGTCTTTTTGGTCAAGCCTTTTGATGTTTAGATTAGATATTTCACTTCCTTTAAATAAAAGTTACTCTTCGAACTCTATCGTTCGACCGAGAAAGAGATTATGCAAGTGAGAAATCGAACTTAAGACTGGGAGTCTGTCAATGATATCTAAATTTTAATCTTGTCCATATAGCATGGACTAACCATGGAAAAAATAAGTTGGACCTGTTGAGTTTTAATAGAGTGACTGAAAGTTGTTGATCTTCACATTTGTTTATGTTTTCCCATGATCTTAGGTGGCAGTTGCCAAGGGGCATCCGAGACTCGCTACCAAGAGCTACCGGAGCACTCTAATGAGGTCGGAGTTTGAACCCGAGGAGTATCATGCTGGTCTTCTTCTTCCCAATGTCAGCTTTGTGTCAAAAACTGTAGAACAACTTATTTCCATGTCCATGGAGTGAGACTTGCATTGTTTTTGTTAGTGGGTAACGTAGAGGAGATTTTGTAGACAAAGTGGAATTTGGATTAGGGTACAGACGAGAAGGGGGAAGTTTGGAGGGTGGGGATAAATTATTTGGAATGGCTTGACTAATGTAGTTTACGATTATATTGTTGGGAGTATGAGAGAGAAATTAAAACTTATTTTTTGTACCAATATCGAATATTAATAAGAGCATTTTTTTTATTTTTTGAAATCGATGTTGTGTGGCTTACGCTAGTAGATCTGTATAGTGAAGACTCGTTTAGACTGGTCAACAAGTGCAAAGCTTCAACACAAAATCTTATGGTAGGTGATACTACAAAATTTCATACTTTTGCCACTCTCATCCGAGGGGATTGGAGCGAAGAGATAGATTTTGAAACTACAACCATTATTTGAAAATACAATTTTAATTTTTTGTGAGAGAGAAGAGAGGGAGAGATTAAAAATATGAAATACATGAAAATGGTGGGTTGTGAACTTGAGTATAATTCAACTTCTCAATTGATTAGCAAAGATTGTAAGATCAAATATTGACTGCACGTGTTAAATCAGAGATCGGATTTGAGAATACATTCCTAAGTTTGGGTGATAATTCAGTAAAAGTTGCACTGGTTCAATTATTTTTATACTTGGCAATTTTCTTTTTTAAAAAATTGAATAAACAAAAATATCCCATTTTCATAAAAATTGTAACTTTATATTATGCTTGTTTCTAATTTTCGTTGCTTTCCTACCTTTCAAACTATGATGAAAGTCATGAACATAAGTTAGCCGCAAAAGCAAACAAAACGGTAATTTAAACCAAACCACAAATCATTTTGGCTTACCTAATCCGCTCTCTTTATTCTCAAGCAAAGTTTTCGGAAGAAAAAGACAGAAAATAGCAATTAAAAAACTTAGCCAACTTGGTCCCCTTTGGCTGCATTTTACACTTTCTAATATCTCAAAGTAAACTCTCAAGTCTCTGCAAAACCATGATTCCAAAAATGGTGATTCTGCTTTTCATCATCTTCTTCCATGGTTCTATGACCATGGCGTCGGATCCTGATCCGATATTCGACTTCTGCTTGCCGAGCGGGACGCCGTCGTGCAAGAACTCTTCTCAAGCTAATGTAGAAGACTTTGTTTTCTATGGTATAAAGTTTCCTGGAAAGTTTAACAGATCTGGTTTCTCATCCACACCGGTTAATGCAGACGTCTTTCCGGGTCTAAACACGCTCGGAATCTCTATGGTTCGGGCGGATTTCGACGTTGGAGGTGTCAATGTTCCACATTTTCATCCTAGAGCAACTGAAGTTGCTGTTGTTCTTGAAGGGAAGATATATTCTGGATTTGTTGATACCAATAGCCAGATTTTTGCTAAGGTGATTGAGAAAGGTGAGGTCATGGTGTTTCCAAGAGGCTTAGTTCACTTCCAAATGAATGTTGGAGAAACTCCAGCAACAATTTTGGGGAGTTTTGACAGCCAAAATCCTGGACTGATGAAAATTCCAGCTGCTGTTTTTGGATCTGGGATCAAAGAAGAGCTATTGGAGAAGGCGTTCGGGTTGAGTCCCGAGGAGCTCGCTAAGCTGAAAAAGAGGCATGCTCCCCGTAGACCGAACTAGACCTTTCGGGCATATTTGGGTAGCGATTTTATATCATTGTAAAAGATCAGAGTATGCACTAAAATTATTTCTATTTAAAAAAATAATACAATGATATACAAGTGATTTTAGAATATGACAAACGTGATTTTGACGATACCAAAATCATTCTCAAACATACTATTTAAGATTGTTATTTGCTTTGCACGAGTATGATACAAATATAAGTGTAAATTGATGTATTGTCAGGTCGAAAAAGCTCGAACATGTCTTCTTTGTGTCGATGTCACTATTTATATTGAAACGTTTGGAATTCTGTTATTTATGGCAATGATCATCTTGTACTACAAGTTTGTGTTCATTTTTTTATTCACTTGAAATGCAGATATCACCATAGACATATCTGAAGAAACTCATAACAATAACATTTTTTCCTTTTGATAGTTACTACTAGTATTTGAACACGAATTTTCAGTCTGTTCTTAGGCCGAGATCGATTTAGAAATATTCAGGTATTTAAGTCGTTCGACGCCTCCTCATTTTCGATCGAATTCAACTTCTTTAGGAACGCCTAAAAATGAATGTCATCCAATGTCAAACTTCTCCGTCACTCTCTCTTTCAAGGTATCCTATCCAGAATCCAAAGTTTATACAAATGCTATTTCACAGTTAGATGGAAACATATATCGTCTGTCTCGAGACACGATTTTGCAGCACAACACACAAGCAGTAGCTAATACTCATCGAAACCCGCGAAGCGAGATCGAGAGATAAACAAACCTATACTAGCAGAAGAGTGACTCTAATCACTTCACTTTAAGCTATTACCAACAACTTTTGTACTTAGAGCAAGGCACTTAACATCTCATTCCAAATATCAGGCACACCAGGGAGGCACCAGTGGCTGCAATCAGAAGATAGACCTTCCTGGTGCTGCTTCTCTTCTCGACCCAAATCATTTCGATACACGGACGGGTGGCCATCTCTTCGAAGAGCGGACATTGCCGTGATGTCTTGAAGGTATACTGGGAATCTCATCCTTCTCAATACTCCTTGAAGCACAAGCAACTGTCCCGGGACATGTTCGTGGCTGAAGTAAGCTAAAGGCTGCCTTTGGTTATAGCATTTCCAACCATTGTCTCTGGAATAAGAATGGAAAAACAGATGAATATGAACTTCAAAACTTGCACTAACTTCACTTTGGATGTGATTTTTACCTGTTATGCCTGGGAGACATACTTCGAAAAATGACTCGGGTTTTTTCGGGGTTCAAGTTCAAGTCTACCCATTTGGCCCATGTGGTAAGTCCCTTCTCATATGCAACCATTGGATTCAAATATTTATAGATGGTCTGGCCCTCCATGTAGTAATCCCATCTGAAACCAGTTATGGAAGCTCAAAAGATCAGAACAAAACAGAACAATAGGTCCCAAATCATAACACCATTTGAACTATGTTGATACATAACAACTTTCCTCAGCAGACAAATGAAGACCAAAGAGAGAATGATTTGCAGAAATACCTGAAAATGAAATCCTAGCTCCATTTGATAACCATTTCGCTTTTTGTTTTCTGTTTTTTAAAATTATGCTCGTTTTCTCACGATTTGTTTGGTATGTAGTACAATTTAAAAAACAGAAACAATTTGTTAGGGACTACTTTATTTAGTTTTTAAAATTTGGCTTAGATTTTGAAACGTTTCTAAAAGGTAGATAACAAAGGAAACACACAAGTGAAAGTAGTTTTTATATTCTCTTACGAGCTCCATTGTTCAGAGTGAGTCCACCAGTGAGCTGAATCAAACACAAGAATATCAACTCCCATCCAATGCTTAGCATTCTCTTCAATCTTATCCAAATGCAAAACTCTCTTGTTTTCAGCTCCTTTGCTCAGTTCAACCAAAAGTGGAGCCCATGAAAACTCAATTGAAGCCTCGAAATCCTGTTCAAGAAAAATCAGAGTATTTGGATTTCTCACACCCAAAAGACAGACAGATTGCAGAATTTCAAGCGTTTTAGAAAGAGAAAGAGAAACTAACTGCAAGAGCCAATTAAAATATCATTTACCATAGCATGGAAAGCCATGGAAGGACCATTGTAAGTCACCATTTTTCTACCAGTTGGCACGACTCCTTGCACTAAGCAAACAAGAGATTCCCATTGATTTCTCATTATAGAATCCCCCACTAACATTATCCTTTTCCTTCTCATTTTCCCGAGAAAATTCAAGGCATCAAACCTGTGATATCAGAGTGAAGAGATAGAAAAACCTTAAAATCATATTATAATCTTCAAACTATACATTTAAACATGTCACACTACTGGCTAAAAGCATTTACCATTAAAAATAAAATTACAAGTTTGGTCTTTAGAACTTTCCCGATCATCTGTATTTAGTCTCTGTACATTAAAAAATTTTAAATAGATCCTAAACTTTTAAGATTGTGAATATATGTCATAAACTTTAACAAGTTCAAAATTGAATCCTAAACTTTCAATTGTGTCCAGAAATAAGTCCAATGCTATCAAATGTCTGAACATACACATAAGCAACCTGTCTATAGTCGTTAAATTATATAATTAGCATGCCATATATTAAACTAACAGAGTAACAACATGGACATATTCAACAACAAAAAAATTAAAAGTTCATGGTTTATATTAGAAACTTTTTATGGAATTTGTTAGAAACTTCTTGAATGACACAATTTTAACTTTAAAAATATCGAACAATTTAATACTTTATAATCATAAAACTGTTGTAGCGATTTTTTTTTTCTCTTTAACAGAGGCACTTCAAAAAACATTTTCTAATAGTGTGTAAGACCAAAGTAATCAGCTGTTAAGTGCTTTCTACTTAATTGCCAAACATGCCTCTGTGAAACGCTAACTATTTTCAGTTAAAAACGTGAAGAACCTGCGAATAGAGCAACCGCGTGGCTTCCATTTCCACTTCTCGTAGTCAGAATCCGGCCGTCCATTCCTTTGGCAGGTCACGGCGGAGCTGAGATAAGGGCAAGAGGAATCGTACAATGGATAAGACTGATCGAAAATCCATTTTCCGTCGGAAAAATCGCATCGTCTCTGTGAATCGCCGCCGCTCTGAACGATATGAACTTCGTCGTCTTCTTCGCTAAGCCAGGACTCGCCGTCCTCCGAAGAAAACGGCGATGAGCTTCCATGGCTAAAGCACAGCAATGTGAAGAAGATGAAGAGGAGAAATTGAAGATTTGATTTCGCCATTGAAGGAAGTGTGAAGTGAATGTCTGAGACTGAGAGAGTATTTGCATTTTTGTTGATGATCAGAGCTCTCCTTTAATGCATGATTGGCGGAAGGTGGGGCAATTTTAAGCTTCTTTTTCTACTTTATCGTCCCTTCATTCTACCAAATCATCCATTTTTATTTTCCTTTTTCTTTCTTTTTATTTTCTTTTTATTTTTTATTTTTGACCTTTTTCAAATGTGAGACGATGGATTAAACCTCCGAGCTCTAAGGATTAAACCTCCAATCATGTTGTGTGTTGCCCTTTTTTTATATCTTTATCCAAAAAGTTTGAGAGTTACCGAAAAATAATTAAAAGTTTAAAACTTACCTTTTAAACTTGCTCGTGAAGATTAAATTATTTCAAACACTCGAGTAAAATGACTGTTTGGTGGAAAAAAATAACCACGACAATTTACTAAATTTGTCCCAAATAATGTGTTTCACTTCCCATTTTACTTTGTGGAAAGAACAATGTCGTGAGTTGATCATTGCTTTGATTTTGTGTTGGTGGGCATGAAATGCGGGGCATTATGAAGATGGACAATGCTATAGCAATCGACCAAGCATGTTGACTTCTTTTCAATTTTCATTATGAAGTTCACAGCTTTAATTATTCCGTGTTGGTCAAAAGATTTTTCTCTCGTCCACATATATACTTGGTTAATTGATGCGAAAATCTGTCTAATTACCTAGATGCGACCAGGTCGATGCGAGAGGTTAGGAGCAAGTTCCTTTGGTGGTACCTACAAGAATAGGTAGGCTATTCTGACGTCCAAATTAGTTAAGAATTCAGACATATTTTTCGTACCTGGGTTGATGTGTGGGTGGTATATTTATAGTGGCTAGTGGGGTAGCTACTTGTCCCATCAGAGTATTTCTCTGCTCGCGCTAGGTTCCTCGCAAGATCCGTCGGTCCATGCATATCATCGGATCTTGCCTGCCTCTAGAAGAGACTCCCGAACATCCCCATCCTTATCGAACTTCTCGACCCCGAACTATCAGGTCGGGCTTATCGACCTTACTCAAACAGGTCGGCCTCTTGGATTTTGCCTCCCAACAATGGTTAAATCGACCTGTTCAAGTACTATATTGGTGTGTATGTACCTTCAATTTTAATTTATTTTAGTTGATTCGTATTTACTTATTATATTTTAAACTCTGGTTCAATTTAGTATTTGTCGTTTCAAAATATTCGTTTTAGTCTCTATAATTTTAAAAAGTGACCATTATTGTAAAATTATAACATAAATTATATAACAATGGAAAAATCATCTAACGCAAGGTCATTGCTATATTTTAAGAAATATATTTGAGTGTAATATTAGGTTGAAATTATGATCGAAAAAATGAGAAAAAAATAAAATGAAGGGACCAAAATGATTACTTTCTAAAAGTACAGTGACCAAAACCAACGTTTTAAGAGCACATAGACCAAAATGAATCAAAGTTTAAAATACAGGGACAAAAATGGTATTTTAACCTACAAATTTTTTTATTTAATTTTGAAAATAAGAAACAGTAAATATTATTTTTCTCTTCTATTTGTTGCAAACACAGCTGCGGTTAGCAGAGATTCGTGCTCTCGAGCCAATAGCTAAGTTTTATCCTCAGAGGATGGAGCGAAAAAAATGTCATTGAATTCTTTATATCTTTTTTTCACAATATTTAGATATTGACTCATCAACACTCATCTTCATCGGTTATTTTTGTAAATAGGAAAAATAAATATATAATATGTATAATTTTTTTTTTCAAACAAAATAAAGAGCTTCAAAATTGTAGTGGTCGTGGATATGAGTACTAACGGATCACTACCTAAATATTTTATAAATATATCCGATGTATAACACATACATGCCCTTTGTTTGAAAGGGATAAGATCTTTTTTAGATCAGCAACGAATGTCTTGTTCATAGAGGTTAGAAACAATAAAAAAAAAAAAGAACAATTAGCTTGATGTCTCTATAATGCTTTGTTTATTATTATTATTTTGTTCGTATATATTTCGACTACATTTACCCAATTGTCAGGACAATTAACCTCTCTCTCCATATGTATTTGTACAATGAGTGGAGGTGGAAAATTCAAACTCATGTTGGCAATTAACTCATATTATTAATGAGGTTAAATTAAAAAAAATTACCGTCAATTTTGCCATTTATTTGAAATACATCTATCATTTCAAAAGTTTAAATACTACCCTTCATTTTTCATAAGCATTTCAAAAAATATCATTTAAGTAAATATCTGTTAATATTCCAAACGAAAAATTGACGTGAAATAATCTAAACTTACGCGTCAATTAATATGAAAACTTACCTAGGTTAAGTCGAAAGAGACGAAATATTGAATAAACCGTCCCTTTTAAAGAAACAATTAGGTAGGTAATAAAGAAGCAAACTATATTGGCATTGGAAGAAAATAACTTTTAAGGCAAAATTGAGACGCTAATTACCTCGTTATTATAGATTACCATGTCAACTTTCCGTTCAAAATATTAATAGATGTTTGCTCAAAAAATATTTTTGGAACCACTATACAAAGTTAAGGGTAGTATTGAAAATCGTAGAAGTAGATTTGAATTGTGGGCTCACCTAAGATTTGTAATCTCATTCATCCCTCGTAACCTCAACAATTTCATTTTAATTTTAATTACTTGATTGGAAATATACATCAATTACCACTTCGTTTGTCATTATTATTATTTTAATAAAAAATATTAACATAGCAATACATTTATTATTGGTTAGATATAAAAAAAAGAGTATAATAATAGTTGTAATATATGTGATTCATATTCCGATTAGATGAGTAATCCACATTAAAAGATCTATGATTTCGATTTTAGAAAATTTATATAAACGAGAATAAATTAATTTAATCTCATCTGTACTAATTTTCATTCGATTCATTATCGATTCCGGATAAGTAAAGGGGTGGCGGTATTTCTGAAACAAAAAACAAAGCTTATATATAAACAATAGTGTAACTGTGTGAGTTGTTCAACAAACCTGCGCCGTTCTCCCTCCCTCCCTCTCTCTGCGGCGGCGACTCTCTCTCTCTTCGGCGGCGATCAGCAGACGTCCGTCTCTCTCTCCCGGCAACAGGCTAAAGCTTATATTTCGAGGTTAGTTCCTGTTTATATTTTGCTTGGCCCATGGTGTTTGATTACCGCTGCTGCTGTGCTTGTTGAAGTATGGATTTTCAATTTTTTGATAAATCATGGCAGTTGATTCTGCCTTCGAGAGAATATTGAGAAACTCTCGATTTCATGGCATTAGGGTTTTTTTTTTTTGGTTTTCCTGTTTAAAGGTGACAGTCACGATTACATTAGTGTATTTTAATACATTTGTCTCATGTTTTTGATAGTTATTAGACGGGAAGTAAGGCACTCGATTTCTGCAATCTTCTCATTGAACCATAATGGCGGCCTTCAATCTTGTTGCGAATATGTATGACCCAGCTTTGAAGCCACGCTTGCTACACAAGCTTCTCAGAGAGCATGTGCCGGATGATAAGCGGACGTTTCATGATCACTCGGAACTCTCAAATGCGGTTTCTATGATCAAAATCCACAATCTCCTCTCCGAATCTTCGTCTTCCAAGGACCAAAAGCTGATAGATAGCTGGAAATCCGCCGTTGATTCCTGGGTCGACCGCTTGTTTCTTCTTCTCTCTAATGACATGGTATAAATTTATATTTCATCGAATTCTATATGAAGTACAAATTCTATGAAAACTTTTAGGATGTCTTGATCCAACAAAAGAAAGTGTGTGTGTGTGTGTGTGTGTGTGTGTTGGGGAGGGGGGGTGTCATTGTGTTTACTATCGGAATTCCTAACACGACCATGGAGAGATTTAACAATAAGAAAGCAATGTTGTTTCACAAGATTACCTGAGAAACTTCAAGACTCGAACCTTGCTTGAATATTTAGCATTTCACTGGCATTCAGGAAGATAAGAAATAATCCTTTATTCTTTGAGAAATTGCTCAATTTCCTTTAACGGGTACTAATTCTAACATCCATTATGTGTAAAGCCTGATAAATGTTGGGCGGGAATCATTTTACTGGGAGTGACTTGTCAACAATGCAGCTCTAGTCGTTTCTTGGCATCATATACAGAATGGCTTCAGAAACTTCTACCTCACATTCAGGTAATAATAATTATTTTTTTTCCTTGGATTGATTCTTTAGTATTTAGCTACATGTATCGAGTGGCAAAAATATTAATGATAAAGTATATGTAAGGAAGGAATGTAAATATGGTGGTTCTGAAATCTGGTTATCATTTCATAAAATGTGATTGATTATTTCTTGATGGAAATAATGTAAAACAATATGTTGGAGGCATGTGGTAACAATAAGATAGAATTTGGCAGCACACTAATGCTTACGGAGGCATGCTTATAGTCGATGCGAGTTTTATGAGCCAAGGGTTGAGCTAATAATTTTCACATGGTTCATTTTACCAAGAGTAATTCAAAATGAAATGTAATGACCGAAAATTGTCTAGTTTATTCTTTTGTTGTTCCATCTATTTATACAGTTTTCGTCTTTTAAGTTTTCATCTCATAATTCATTAATTCTTACTTATATTTGAATGCTGCTAAAAATATTAAACTACTTTGTTTTTTTTTCTTTCTCCTTTTTTTTGGTGTTTTCCCTTGTTCAATAGACAGATTCTCAGTTTCTCAAGGTGGCTGCTTGTGCTTCAGTCTCAGATTTATTCTCAAGGTACATCTTCATTTGACCTTGACAGAAATCTATCATACAAAGTAATCGCTCGGACACAAATTGATTAGTCAAATATGCCCTTTCCAAAAGTGGAATATCAATGTTTACTGTTAAGCCCTTTGAAAATGGAAAACAATTTTTACCAAGCATACCCCAAACAGCCTCTTAGAATTTGTACTTGTCGTTTATATATTTACTTTGAAGATATTGCAGATTCTACTTTTGAATGCTGACTTAAGAGTACAACTGGGTGACTTAAATTTAATTGGAAGGCAATGGCCTAGAGAAATGGTCTTTCCATCAAATAATGCTAGTTATTGGTTCATTTTGTCTATATATTCAAAGTAATGTGCTTTACCATGATATGGCTGGTTTCATGACTTTGACTTGTAAAGATCTCTAATTTACTAATTAGGTTGAGTAGATTTCAAAATGTAAAGAAGGATGGGACTTCTTGTGCTGGGAAGATCATCCAACCAGTTCTTAAGCTGTTGCATGATGATAATTCAGAAGCTGTTTGGGTAAGTAGCACAGGTGAATTCACATTTTTCATTGACTATTTTCATGTGTTAATGAGCTAAAGAGTTTTGTACCATTCATTAAAGAAAAAATAGTTTTGTAACTATGGTATTTTGATGATGTATTCCAACTGAGATCCTTTTTTATTAATCCCTTGGGCTCTTGTGAGACTGCTCATATCTACTTTTTGTACTCTTTTCCCGGTTACTACTGTTTTTTTTTTCGCATCAATAATATAATTACCTGCATGTTGGTCGATGCAGGAGGCTGCAGTTAATCTATTACACACTCTGATAGCTTTCTTTCCCTTTACAGTCCATCGTCATTACGACTCTGTAAGTGCTTTATCGAATAATGAGATATTCATTATGATATAAATTATAATTACAAGACTGTTGGTAGGTCTCTGACTTGTCAAATATCTATAAACCATACGGTGTTATCTGAGGTGCAGAAAAATTTTGCAACTGAGCTGCAAACGAAAAAATTGCATTCTTCTTCACAAAGAGCTGCAGTGAAAAACTGGAAAGAGTATACCAATAGTACCTAAAACAATTAAATTTACTCTCACGACTCCACCCAATCAATAGAAATTTCTTCTTTTTCATACCAATGGAGCTTACAACAAAAAACTACACCAGTCGGTATTAATCATCAAAGAATTATAATAATGAAAACTAGGAGAGTACACCAATAGGAGCTAAAAAGAATCAAAGCTCTTGACGGTCTTTAACCTAGATACTGTTGCTCAAAGTACAGTAGAAGAAAAGATAGCCTGCTAGTTTCCTCATTTTGGTTGTGTAGTCTCTAACTTTAGTAGATTTCACCTTTGGGTTAGGTGGACAAAATTTCCCTCAGACAAGCACTGATTGTCTCTTCTCAAAAACTCCTGAACACCCCAAAAAGCTCAACTTTGGTGTTCCGGATTTTTCATAAAACTTGATATTAAAGACATTTGGTCCAGAGGTTTAGGGGCTGTTGTTTATACTTTCTAGAATTTGGTTGTCCCTTCTCAAGATCTTGGCATACATGACTTCAAGTTGTCAGCATGTTATTCATCTAGAAAATTTTCATCTGTGTAATTGAAAAGGCTGGGAATGTGTAAATCCCATGCGAAGTTTGTTTTAGTGTTGAAATAACTAGTGCCTGTTTATCCCTGATGCATTGAGTATTGATATCTTCTGCAGGCTGAAGCTGCAATTGTTTCAAAAATCTTTTCAGGGAAGTGTAGTTTCAATATGCTGAAGGTACTGTGTTTCTTTTTACTTTAATGTATTTTCAATCATAGATATTGCTATGCATCACATTTCCTCTATAATTTTCTGTCTTTGTTTCGTATCCAACATTTAGAAGCTTGCCCATTGCCTTGCATCTCTTCCAAAATCAAAAGGAGATGAAGATAGCTGGTCTTTACTGATGCAGAAGATTTTGTTATCAATTGATAATCACTTGAATGAGGCCTTCCAAGGCATTGGTGAAGGTGAATACGAACCGTATATCATATCAAGCTAAGCTAACTTTAATATGTGAAGACGATGCAAATGATCCATTTGATTGTATGTAGACTCAAGGGGGAGTGAAGTTGTAAGGTTACTCATTCCACCAGGGAAAGATCCTCCACCACCTTTAGGCTGTAATTCACTGCCAGGAGGTTCCTTTGACAAAATAACAAAGAGCTCAGAGAGATTGTTGACATCTAGCATATCAACCTTGATGTTTTGCTGTTCTACAATGATAACAAGTTCATACCCCCATCAGGTACCATCATATCATTTCATTTTTTATTGCAGCGCTTGTCTTGAAAGAGGAATAGTTGGTCTCAATATTATGTACTGTGAGACCTCAATTTATTCATGAATATAAAGAAATAAAGAAAAAAAATCGATGTTAAAAGGATATTTTACAGGTGGCAGTTCCAATTCGCCCTCTATTAGCTCTTGTTGAGAGAGTGCTGATGGTGGATGGCTCTTTGCCACCCACGTCAGTGCCATTTATGACTTCTCTGCAGCAAGAGTCAATCTGTTCAGAACTTCCAACATTACATTCAAACTGTTTGGATCTTCTCATTGCCATCATTAAGAGTCTTCGCAGGTAAGGCATCTACAACTCAACTGCAGATGCTATATGTTGTGGAATTTCTCATCCATAAGGATGATCATTCATGTTTAAATGAATACAAAAATTATCCAATAGGAACATGAGCCTAGCTCAGCGGTAATTGGCACCAGTCTCTGACCAAAAGGTCATGAGTTTGGATCTCCCTACTCGTACTAAAAAATAATCCAATAGGAACATAAAGTCTCCAATTTGTTTTACTTATACGAGGAGGAAAGTGTGAAGCCTATCAAGTCATTTGTTACCGCAAATTCGTATGCTATATTTTTGTTGATATACTTATTATTAAATTCCGTTTGCAGTCAATTGTTACCATATGCTGCATCTATTGTGCGTCTCATTGTAAAGTACTTCAAGAAGTGTGTCTCTGCAGAATTGAGAGTAAAGGTTTATGCAGTTGCCAAGTTATTGATGATGTCTTTGGGCGTTGGTAAGTAGTAGCCAGTAGTATTTCAATTATTATGCATCTATGTATTGGTCAATTGTGTGTGTGTGTGTGTGTTTTTTTTTTTTTTGAGAAATCAATTAGATGTTATGAATTTGTATAATGTGATTGTAGCATATGAATCCAAATAATGTGATTTATTTATAGCATGCCCTTTATTTTAAGACTTTACCCTCTTGTACTTTCTTTTTTTATCTATAACTTCTTGATGGTCAATTAAAAAAATATTCACTAGGGGTAAAGGGTGCTCAGAATGCAAGTCGAGTCTAAGAGCTAATTGGAATTAGATATTTTTTTAAGGGAGTTTGAGAAATATAGGATTTTGCCACTTTACTATTAGAGAAATCAGCATAATTTTAACCAGGCTATCAAAATAAATGTGTTTGCCAATCCAACTTGCTTATTGCTGAACATGCATGGAATGCATGGATCTTCCTGTGTTGCACTTTATCAATTCATTGAAAGATACATTCTTTGTATTTCATTTGGCATGGATTATATATTTTATACATATATGTGTAAATAATGTTTTGGGACCTAAACTCGTTCGACGCTGCGTCTGGTTCAGGAATGGCTGCATCTCTTGCACGAGATGTGATGGAGAATGCACTTATCGATTTGAATCCTGTTGATAATGAGAATTTTGCCCCATCTAGTGTGAATTCAAAGGACACTCAAAGGGAATTCATGCAACACCACAAGAAGAGAAAACGTCCTTCAGTTCCCACTTCCCTGCAACAGCAGCAGGAGAGGCATGGGTCAGGGGACGTTGACAACATCATTATGTCGACTCCAGTCCCTTTGAGGATAGCTGCGCTTGAGGCTTTGGAGACCCTTCTTACCCTGGTAGGTATTATTTATGTTATATGCATTTATCTTTATTATTTCCTCTGCTAGATGAGTAGGTTTATTTATCTGCATATGAGTTTTTTTGTAAGGTTGTGTACGAATTGGTCTCGGATGCTTTTTCATTTTGTGTTGAAATGAGTATAATAACAGATGGGGGTGGAGATATTGAGGGAGCATATTTTGGAGATTATTTAATTCTTTCTCGTGGGGTCAGTTTCCAAGTTCTTTTTTGTAATTATCAGTGCAGTGTTATCTCGTTGGATTGGAGCTCCTTTCTTTGAGCTGTTTTTTGTATGCCCGGTTTATTGTCTTTTTCTATTTTTCTCAATGAAAAGTTCGGTTTTTCATTTTAAAATAAAAATGTTGAAATGATACCTAAATGCTAGTAGTAATTGCTCTAGCTTTTTTTGCTTTTCCCATTTGTTTATTTGGATAGGCTGGTGCTTTGAGATCTGAAGAAGGGTGGCGTGGAAAAATTGAACAACTTTTAGCAACGGCTGCAACATCTTCTTTTGATTGGCCACGGGCTTCAGACAACGGTTCTTTCCAAACTGATGAATCTATTGAGGTTTGGACAGATTATCAGCTGGCAGCATTTCGCACGCTGCTAGCTTCATTTTTGTCCGCCGTCCATGTACGCCCGCTGGCTTTGGCTCAAGGTCTCGAGCTTTTCCGTCGAGGTAGATCTCTTTAAAGGACTTTCATAATATCACTGTGTCGTAATATTTACTTTTAACGTCAATAAATTTATCTACTGAAGCGTCCCTTAGGAAGAGCTCAACCGACAAAGACGAGTTGGAGTAAAAAGGATTTTGAATCCTCCTCCTAATTGTTCTATCAGTGAATTTCCCCCGGAAAATATTTCTATAAGCTACATTATCGTCTCTGTTGGCTATATTTTGATAGATATTTTCTTCCTCAGGTAAACAAGAATCCGGAACTAAACTAGCTGAATTCTGCGCTCATGCTCTTTTAGCCATGGAGGTCCTAATACATCCGAGGGTACTTCCCCTGTCGGATTTCTTGCCGGTGCATTTGAGCTCTTCTGAACGACAATCTACCTATAAATTCGAGGAGAATATGTTCTTTGATGGTCTGAATTCTAGCAAAGTGTTGAAGATTGACACAATGCAGGGCGTGGAGCAGAGTGCCCCTGATTTAGATGACGATTTCTTGTTCAATAACGAGGTTGCAGATGATATCGAAGAGGCTCCAATTAGAGAGGCTGGTAATGAGATAAATGATGGTGAAACGACGTACAACACCTCTAATGACTCCAGCAAAGAGGCCTCTGTCCTTGGTCCGTCGAGCACAGAGACACCTAAGAGGAGCGAGCAGGAGACTGCAGCAGCCATAACAGATGTAGGGGTTGTAGAGAAAGATGATGCCTTTGGTAATGCAAGTATAAATGATTCTCCCATGTCTCCAAAGTCTGATAAAACTGATGATTTCGAAAGGGATCGGGGCTCGAATTTATTGCTAGAAGACGATTTCCCCGATATCATCGATGCAGATCCAGATACAGACTATGAAGAGTGAAAAAGGTACTGGCATTCTTAAATCAATTTTGTAGAGATGAGAATGTTTCAGTTCAAGATAAATTATTTTTGTTCTAATACATGTCACCATAGTTTAAGCTTATTTAGGATGACTATGTATATTAAGGTTGAAGTTCAAAAAATTACAAAACCTTAGGATCTGTCAGTGTCAATTTTTGGTTACAGAATGAAATTCAGTTACCAAGTCTAACAAATTGCTAAAGCTTAGGATCTGCCAGTGTCATTTTTGGCCATGTAATGAAATTTAGTTACCAAATTTATTTAATTGTTTTAACGAAAATCTTACTAATTTTTGTGTTGCAGCCCGTTTTCTTACTCGTGTACTTTGAATCACACTATTGGATAGGGGTGTAAGGACCCAAACCGATCTGATTCAGGTTGGTCGGGTTTGGTTATAGCATAAGTCGGTTTGGTTCGACTGGTTCTTAAAAACCGATTTAAAATTTTGCCCTACCTTGCAATCTTGCACGGACTCCCGTGCCCCTCTCTTCCTCAACAAACCAATTAACCCGCGACTTCTCATTGCCTTCTCTCGACAAACCTATTCTCTTTCAAAGTGGCTAACATTCCGATCGAATATTTTGATGGTATCCAAACAAATCCACTGGCCCTCTCTCAATACAAGCCTTCAAATTCTCTCTCAACAAACTCTCAACGGCCAACCTTTCAATTGAACTTTTCGACGAAATTCAAACAAACCCACCGATCCTCTCTCGACAAACGCACCAACTCAAGGTGTGTTCGTTCCATCTTCCATTAATTGGGGAAAAAAAATCTGCATCTTCAAAGCTCACATTTAGTTCATCCTTGAAAATACGATGAATGTATCATTGAATCGAGAGTTGCAATTTCTTAGTTAGCATGACCTAAATATTGAGAATATTAACATTTATTTCTGGTAGCGTTTTCGTTTTTTTTTATCATTTTTAATTTTATTAAGAAATTGAAGCATTTGATAATATTTGTAATAAAATTAAGTTTTTTTGTTTCTTTCTCTTTCTCTTTTTCTTTTTTCTTGTTTCTCTTTCAATTTTCTTTACTTATAACTTTTCTTTCTCTTCTTATTTATATTTTCTCTAACAAATATATCTCAAACTTTTTTCCTGTCTAATTTTTTTCTGCCTAATACAATGTTCAACAAACCTATTTCTCTAAAATTTTAATCCTTTTGTCTTTAAATTATCCCTAAATTTTTCTCAAACTTTTCTTTATCTAAATCTTTTTCTTTACATCTCTAAACTAGTTTCTAAAAATTCTCTTTAAAAAAAATCTTTTTATCTCTCATTTTCATGTATCTGCATTGGAGGGAGGACAAGGATGCCTCCGAGATTGGGTCCTTGCTTGCATTTATTCCCACCATGCCCCAACCTCGTCTTTGATTTCATTTTTAATTAATATATAATTTATTAACTATTATACTAAATTATGAATAAAATATTAAATATTGTTTAAAACTAATTACTTATACTAATAAATAATAATTTTTAGTAAAATATATATAATTTATATGTATTTATTATTCTTTTTATTTTATAAATTCTAAACAAATTAAAATTAAGTACTCAACTCACTTGGACCTCAATTCCCATAATCCATGAATGGTGCGGAGATGGAAATTAAATATTTATGCAAAGATGGGAAGAGAATCATGCTTTATACCATACCCTATTATCATCTCTCAAACTATAAATTGTTATCGAACCCTATAAAATAAATAGTGGTGGTATCAGACATCGAAAATAAGAACAAAGGGTGATGTTGTTGAACTTTTGGAAACCATTCTCATTCTTTGAATCATAACAATTAAATGCACACTATTAAAATAATATTTAACCATAGGCGAATAGTGGGGAAGAACCCCGTGAATCACGAGGAAGAGAATTAATTTAAATTTATGGCCACGTGAAAAATGAGTTCATTTTCTTTCAATTTTGTTCCCCGTGACATGGCCAACCATTTTCTTTTCTTTTCTTTTCTTTTGAGATACATGACAAGACAACCATCTCATTATAATTGTAGAATATGTTTTATATTATTATTATTATTATTATTATTATTATTATTATTATTATTATTATTCAAGGTTTAAAAAAGGAAAGGAACTTAATCATTATTTCATAACGTGTTTCATGTTTTTACTAAAATTAATTGAAAAACCCAACAACAACATGTAAATAAAGAGGAACAAAATTTCAGACTTGTCATATATGTGTTCGATTCAATAAAATAAATAGTACACGGTTTTAAAACCCATGACCCTAAAATCTTAAATGTAACCCTCTTTAATTATTTAGACACGATTCAGATCATTATAAATAATAATTCATATTATTTCCCTTCATTTTCAATAGACTAAATGAGTCTTTTGTTAGTGGTGAAATTACTCTATCAAATATCTATGAATTAAAATTAGGAAAGCGACTTGAGTCAAGTCGGTCCATCCAAACCAACCTAAAGAGACTTTCTTTATAAATAAGACGAGAATACGCTCTCATAACTACGAAATCTTTTGCTAATAAACTTCGGCATCAA